ATAATTATATATTATAATGTATGTATGTATATTATATATATAATTTATTATAAATATATATATTATATAAATTAAAACCTATATATATATATATATATATATGTGTGTGTGGTGGTGTGTGTTGATGTGTGATGTTGTGTAATAAACCGTTAGTTATGTTCATCCACAAATATGTATATGTAAGAAAGTATGATGAAGAATTAGATATCTTCGAACAATGACAATTTGTATTTGATGAACTCGGTATTCAGAATCGACTGGATACTATATCTATCTTGCGTTACAGCTATGGTTTCGATAAATTCCGATCAATGAATACGATAGATTGCGAAGGTAAATAATTCCCATTTCATTCATTCATATTCTCTATAATATATATATGAATATATATAAATATTTATTATATACATACTTAATAATATATAATATTAATTATATATAATATATAATATGTTGTATGTGATGTGTGTGTGTGTTTGTAGTGTGTGTGTGTGTGTGTATGTGTGTGTGTGTGTATGTGTGTGTGTGTGTATGTTAGTGTGTGCTAATAATAATAAAATGCAACGCATAGACCAATGAATAACGATACATGATTTGCAAGCAACGACGGAACACCAGCTGTTCAAGGACGCGGCAGAAGATATTGTAGATTATCTGTGAACCGTGTAAGACTCATGTGTTAATTATCCTTATTCTCATTCGGGTGTCGTCGAGGGTTTGGCTTCACAAGAGCGTCGGAGAGGATTGTTGTGAAATAATAGAGTAGTATTTTTTTCCGTAGCTGTTCATATGCGATGTTGAATTTTATTAGCCATGAGTATTATCGTACATTATCGGGATTTTAGGGAGTCAGTTCTATGCGTGATCGTAGATGAAGAATTGAGAGAATAGTGGGGTTAGGGAGTGGATGTGATTAACGAGCTTGGGGAGGGCCGGAAGAGTAGGGCAGGAAAGGAAGAGATGGGACGGGACAGGGAAGGATAGATGTTGTGCGAAAAGCGCGAGGGGCGAAAGAGGGAGGGTAGAGCAGAGGAAAGTATTGGATGGGGGGAGGTTTGGAGGGAAAGGATAAGTTGGCAATAGTCGTAGGTGAGGAGAGAGCGCGATGGATCGTTATTCAAAACGCTAGATTTGGTGGGACAAAGCAGTAGGAGGAAGGAACAAAGACAGGGAGAGATGAAGAGAGAAGGTCCGGGCGGAGGGAGGGAGGTTGAGGGAGTAGAGCAGGGCCGCCACGGGACGCCAGGTAGAAGCACAGAGAGGGAGAGAGAGCGACACAACACACCACACGATGTACGATAGAAGATGAAGATAGGTAGATGTAGAGGAGTAGTATAAATGATTATAGATATGAGTAAGAGCTGAGGAGTATATGAGATAGACAGAGCTAGAGCTATTAAAGATGCATATTGATAAAGTAATAGACATACATTTACGATATATAACTATAGGCTATAGATAGGTATAGAGTCCAGCTATTTATTAGGAGAATAGTAACTGACGAATATATCATAAATAGTAACTGAATAGATAGGCTGACATAAGAATATTACGTAGGGAATTCATCAAAGGGAAACACGGTATAATGAATAGGAAGAGTATAGCGTAATAGGGATATAATCGATAATGAATACATAATGGCATATATATAAGATGAAAGTAATATATATTATAGTAGGTATATAGTGCATATGTGCAATATATATAATATATATTATACTAGTATCTAATATGATAATATGAGACAATGCGTGAGAGGTGTCTACCATAGTGATAATACAGTAACAGGGGTGAGGTATATAGTTAGGATAGCTTACAGTATACTATGCTTGAATATGATAGGATGGATAGGGTATGGTTGATATACTGTATAGGAAGGAGACTAAGGGAGAAGCTATAGATAGAGTTTATATTAACAGCGTAGAATATCTATGCCATACCCACACAAACACACACAAGGCACTCGATATATATATATATATATATATATATATATATTATTTTATATATATATACGTATATAATATACGATATACATATGAACGTAAGGTTGGGCCCATATGGGGCCAGCAGGGAACTGGAAATGATATTTTTGGCTTGAAGATTTACGCCCGTGGTCGGAGGGGCCGGAGCGTGACGAGCGAGTATCGGGCTCTCTCCGTGACCGCTCCTTGACTTCCCTTACCTGTCTGTCGGGAAGTCTCTTCCACTATGATCGCAGTGCAGATTACCCCTGCAAGAGGGGTAGGATGGCCTTCAGCTAAGGGACAAGCCAGAGAATCAGAAGGAACGGCGAGAGTGAAACTGTTTGTCGGGCTGGAAGGGGCAGTGGCAAGCTGCGAGCGGGACTATAATTGAGGGGTGAGCGAAGATGGTCGAGCAGAAGGTCTGGGCCCGACCGCTTGGGTATTGGAGTAGACAGTCAGGGACGACCAAAAAAAAAAAAAAATAAAAAGAAAAGAAAAAGAATAAACAGAGAAAAATTAGTAGAGTATATATAAGGTATATGGCGGGTGGTAGGATGAGGTTTTGGATGAGAGAGGGAGTAGAAGAAAAGAAGAGATGAAGAGAGAGAGAGAGAGAGGATGATAGATAAGAAAGAGAGTAATAAGAGAGAGAGTTGAGAGATGAGAGTAATTAGAGACGTAAGATAGAAGAGTATGTAAGAAGATATTGAGGAGATTAGGGATGAATAGAGAAGAGGTATTGTAGCCGCGAAGGGGAGGATATATAATAATAAGGACGACGTTGGCATGTGTGTGTTATGTGTGCTGGTGCGTGTGTGTGGTGGTGGTGTGGTTGTTGTGTGTTTGCATTCACACTTATGTGGCAGTGGTGATGTGGAGTGCGTGTGGTTTGTGTCCGCGCGTGTGTGGTGTTTAGTCCTGAGAGAGAGAGAGATGGAGTAGAGAGCACGAATGGTACTCGAGAGAGATGAGCACGAGAGTGGTATGTTACGAAGAAGATGACGCACGAGGAAAAGGGGTTTGGAAAAAGCAACACAATACTGGGGTAATTCTCCACATGAACCACTTTTCTCGCCAGAAGACATCCTTGCGCAACTGTGCTGCTTGTTGTGAATGAATGCTTTGTGTTACTGCCTCGGTCGAGTATGCCTGTTGCCGCGTCCGATTTTCGGGTTTTTTTCGTCGTCGTAACTTATATACTCCGTCCTGCTGTTAAGTGGGTGGTCCTTTGGGATGTCCCAAGTGGTGGGGTCCTCATGGATGTCGTCCTTTTTCTCGTCCTTTGCCTCTACTAGTCTATTGAGCTTCGAAATAGTCTACTGGTTGCCCCTGCCCAGTTTTCCCTCTTTAGTCACGGTTACGAGATTGTCTCTTGAATTCACGCACTTTGTTCGTTTCACGTAATCTCTATATTCTCTACCCTGTTGTTGGTGGTTAATGTTGTTTTAGTTTTCGCTCTACTATTTTCACCTATACTCACTTACTTTTTATTACCATCCTCCGTGACAGTATTGCATGGGGCAATTATTATTTATGAAGCGGCGCGATAAGCAACTTTCATATGATACGTCATTATTAAACGTGTCTTCCTTCGTATTGTATCGTAGATTCACTTTTTCTATGCGCCATTTATGTGCAGACTTGTGTAAGCATGCAACTCATCGGTAATCACATCGTAAATTTCCTGACCGCTTTTCACGCATTAACTGACGCGATCTCAAGACAAATATTCCTATTTCATCATCTGGAGGACCCATCTAATTTCTAGCAACGTACTTGGGGCTGCTCTTCATTCAAAGCAACCTCGCTAGCTCATGGGTGATCGAGAATATACCATCTTAAATTTAGGCCTATGGTGTGTGAAAAGGGTGTGTGGTTCGTGCGATGTTGTATGGTTTTTTGTGACTTTATTACACGTACAGATCTTACCCTCTATTGTTATGCGGGAAATCAACAGCTTAGCGAGGGAAATTCTTGCAAAATCTGGGCTAAAATTATGTCTTCATATTTCACTACACGAGCTTTTAGTCTGTCCCTTGTAATTCTCTCCCCTCCCCCCTTTTCAATTTGTTACTTTATATATGAGGCGATATATTTATTGAAATAAGTGAGATAATTGTTTTGTTACTTTATATAAGAGGCAGTATATTTATGTTACTTTATATATGAGGCGATATATTTATTGAAATAAGTGAGACAGAGATTGTTACTTTATATAACAGCTTTATATATGAGGCGATATATTTATTGAAATAAGTGAGACAACAGTTTTGTTACTTTATATAAGAGGCAGTATATTTATTGTTACTTTATATATGAGGCGATATATTTATTGAAATAAGTGAGACAGCAGTTTTGTTACTTTATATAAGAGGCAGTATATTTATTGAAATAAGTGAGACAACAGTTTCAGAATCTGTTGTCTCATTTATTTCAATAGATCTAGTTTGTGCATTGTGTTTTTTTCTACATTTGTATCAACACTAGTCTATTTTCTTTTCTTGAAATAAGTGAGACAACAGTTTCAGAATCCTCCTCGATTTCATCTTGAGGTTCTGAAACTGTTGTCTCATTTATTTCAATAGATCTAGTTTGTGCATTGTGAGTTTTTGTACTATTTTATCAACAATGTAGTCTATAATCCATTTATGTTACTTTATATAAGAGGCGATATATTTTTGAAATAAGTGAGACAGCTGTTTCAGAATCCTCCTAGATTCTATCTTCAGATTCTGAAACTGTTGTCTCTTTTATTTCAATAGATCTAGTTTGTGCATTGTGGTTTTTTTCTACATTTGTATCAACATGTAGTCTATAATCCATTAATGTTGCTTTATATAAGAGGCGATATATTTATAGAAATAAGTGACAACAGTTTCAGAATCCTCTTCGATTCCATCTTCAGATTCTGAAACTCTTATCCCATTTATTTCAATAGATCTAGTTTGTGCATCGTGTATTTTTCCTACATTTGTATCAACACAGTGGTCTATTTTCCATTTATTACAGTTTGTTAACGAGGAAAACACATCAAAAGGCGTACTTGTTTATTGGCACACAAGGAGCACAAGAAAAAAAAATTATAGCAGACTTATTACACTGTTTAGGCAGATTGCTGTCCAGCCACGAGCACAACAATAACATCAAGCAAGTAACGTCATAGAAAGGAAACAAGACCTTTTAAAAATCAAAGAGAAAATGTATAATACATACATGTGCGTTTCTCAACATTCACTCACGTGTAAACATCACAGTACGTAAATTTCACAGCACCATATTGTCATGTGTTTGATGTATCGGTGAATTTTCCCAAAATGCTCGACCAAGGAGAGAATAATCATGATAATATTTACGATAAGAATGCGGGCGGATCACTGTGTTGGAAGTCATTGCCACGAGTTGCAATGGACCTTAATCACGATTCGGTCTCATCGGTCACTGAGTCGTACACATTGCAAGGAAGGATTTTGTTGCATGCGTAATTAAGTCGTACCGAGTGTAGGGAAGATTCTGTCTTTTTTATGATGAAGTCGTTCCTAGAGCAAGGAAGATTCTGTCTGTTTATGATGGAGTCGTTCCTAGAGCAAGGAAGATTCTGTTGCTTTTTTATATGATTTCTTGAGTCGTGCCCGAGTCGTATTCACTGCGGTTTCATAATCCACTGAGTCGTACGAAGGGCAAGGAAGATGATGTTTTCATGATGAAGTCGTACCCAATGCAAGGAAGACTTTTCTATATATATATAATTCACTGTCGTACCCTAGTCGTATTCACTTGTAAGATTCGATTTCATAATTCACCGAGCCGCACCCAGGGCAAGGAAGATCATCTTTATTCCCCTTTTTTAATATAATAATTAATTCCTTTTATCTCTTATCTCTTTATCTCTTCACTTCGCGCTGTCGTACGTCCGGCAGTTGGCGTAGAGACAGTCGCAGAGGAGGAAGGGCCACGACTTCCTCGCCGCCTTGCCCTTGTCCTCCTTCAGCGGCCGGGGCGTGGCGGGCGTCGACGAGGGCGTGGCGGGCGTCGACGAGGGCGTGGCGGGCGCGGCCGATCCCGAGGTCGTCCCCGAGGTCGTGCTGAAGGAGGAGGTCGTGGAGCCGGGCCGCCCCACCACGACGAGACTCCCAGCCTTGGAGGGCGGGGGTTTGGGCGGCCCCGAGGCGTCCAGGGAGAGCGACTTGGGGGGTCTGGGGGCGGGGGGAGTGGTGGTTGCGGCGGCGGCGGGGGGTTTGGGGGGGCCGAACACCGCCTCCAGGTTGGTCACGACGGGGCCCAGGAACGACCGGGGCTGCGGGGAGAGAGGCGTCAGAGGGGGGGAGCAAGAGGCTGCCCGATTTAATAAAAAAGAAGACAGAAGACAAAAGAAAAAGAAAAAAGAAAAAAAAAAAAGGAAAAATTAAAAATTAAAGAAAAAGAAAAAAGGAAAAAATAAAAAAAAGAAAAAAAAGAAAAAGGAAAGATAGATAAAGAAAAAAAAAAAAAATGGAAAAGAGAGGGAAAAAAGAAAATAAGGAGAGAAAACAAAAACAAAAACACCACACACACACACTCACACACGCATATAACGCACTCAACTCACACACATTATACAGTACATATTCACAAAAATACTCTTACACAGTACAGTAAATACACTTTACATACGCACTCACAAACACACGAACGCAAATCCTCACAAATCCTCAACCAACTCAGTACATTTAAACATTTAACCGACAACACGCACACACACACACAGACCACACACACACACACACACACATGTCTCTACGTGTTTCCAAAAAAAAAAAAAAAAAATCCTCTTCAAAGGTATTACTTAAAAAAAAAAAAGAAAGAAAAAAGAAAGAAAGGAAAGAAAGAAAAAAATAAAACATTGGCAAAAGCTACCCTCGAAAGCGCCAACTATTCTAAATGTTTGAGTTGTTTAGTACTTGAGCAAATAAACAATCCCATTGAAGTTATTTTTAGCGCAGGAAGCTAAAAAAAGTTCGCAGCTCTTCGATTCGTTGAGGCCAGAATTAGCGAGCTTTGGGAGAACTTTCAAGTTGCAGTCTGCTTGGCTGGCTTATGCAACTTGCTAACCCTTCTCATGGATACTTGGAAGCATATGCACATTCATACATATATACAAACACATACATACATACATATATATGCATTATATATATATATATATATATATATATATATATATATATATTATATATATTAATATAATATTATGTGTGTGTGTACATATAAAACAAAGATCATATACACATACACCACACAAACGCTACAATCCAACACCCATTATATATATATATTGTACACACACACACCACCACCACACACAACACACACACACACACACATACACACACAACACCACGCCACGCATACGCACACCCATAAACAACATCTACACACACACACCACACACACAACCACCACACACACACAAATATATACTACTATATATATATTATATATATAGCTATATATACATATATATATATATATATATATACATAACATATATATATATATAATTATATAATATATATATATATATATATATATATATATATATATACATGCACATATACATATATGAATACAAGTATTTTCGTGTCTGAAGGCATGACCGTGCATCTCAACGTGTGCTCATGTGCATCTCGTGTGAAATAGCCAGGCACGTGAACAGCACTGGAAAGGCTTCTCGAAAATTCCCGGCGAAGGCACCCGAGAAGCATAAACAATCTCGGTAGGAAATGGGATTGCAAAATTGCCTCATGCAGGATGCACAAAAGCAAAGAGAAAGAGACAATTGTATTTCGTCGTGCCCGGAAGACCTCCATCTCATGGGATAGATCTGTTAATGATGTGTCTTTTAAGAAATTGCTTTTTTTTTTTTTGGAATAGAAAAAACGGGAAGACTCTAGTGTGGCGTTTTCGAGAAAAATTACGTTTTTTTTTCTTTTCGTTTTTTTTTCTATTTTATTGTAAAACATTTCTAACAAATAGAAGGCGAAAGATGAAGAAAATTTTAATGGACAAAATGGTTCTGATTTCCTTGTCTTTCTCATAGTGCTTTGAAAAGTTACTTAGACAGTTTTAAGTGAAGTCTAGGTTTTAGAAAACGTAAATACTTTGGAAGAAATAAGAAAAATTATTTTCATTCTCCAATACGAATTTCAAAATGCATTTTGTGTGTGTGTGTGTGTGTGTGTGGTGTGTGTGTGTGTGTGTGTGTGTGTGTGTTGTGTGTGTGTGTGTGTCTGTGTGTGTGTGTGTGTGTGTGTGTGTGTGTGTGTGTGTGTGTGGTGTGTGTGTGTGTGTGTGTGTGTGTGTGTGATGTGTGTGTGTGTGTGTGTGTGTGTGTGTGTGTGTGTATGTGTGTGTGTGTGTGTGTGTGTGTGTGTGTGTGTGTGTGTGTGTGTGTGTGTGTGTGTGTGTGTGTGTGTGTGTGTGTGTGTGTGTGTGTGTGTGTGTGTGTGTGTGTGTGTGTATGTGTGTGTGTGTGTGTGTGTGTGTGTGTGTGTGTGTGTGTGTATGTGTGTGTGTGTGTGTGTGCGTGTGTGTGTGTGTGTGTGTGTGTATTTGCATTTTCGACGGTTTTATCCGGAGCTTCCTTTTAGTTTCCAGTACATTGTGCAATAAACGTTTTTGTCTTTTCCTTTGTATGGGGAAGGAAAATGTGAAAATGGAATAAACCGCAAAAGAATAAGAAAAAAAATATACGAAAAAACAGAACGTAAAATGAAATAGGCCAATAGAAAATAAAATGATAATAATGATAACAATAATAAACGAATATAATAAAAAAGGTACAAAAGTTAAAAAAAACAACTAAATATAAACCGAAAACAAACCTACAAAAAACACGATAAAAAAGAAGAAGAAAGAAAAAGAACCATAACAAAAAAAAAATAAATATAAACCGAAAACAAACCTACAAAAAACACGAATAAAAATAACCAAAATAAATAATAAATAAACAAATAACCATAAAACCAATAAACAAATAAATAAACAAACCCAACGGATCTCCTTGTTTACCTGAGCGTTTCACAACACGCGCCGACTCCCTTGACGTTCCTAGCTAAAGCACACACCACGGAAAAAGCTTCTAAACAGCTGATCTACACTACAGTCTACAGCTCCACCTCTGACAAATGCGCTAGTGGGTTTGCAACTCCTGCAATCGGGAAATAGTGAAATGGTAGCAATTATATGTGTGCAGGTGCGTATAAACGTACGCACACACATACACACACACACGTATATATACATGTGTGTGTGTGTGTGTGAGTGTGTGCATGTGTGAGTTCGGGTGGGGTGTTTGTGTGTGTGTGTGTGTGTGTGTTTAAAATACGATAAGTAAACGTTTGGGAGCTTTTTTGTATTGTTTACTGAGTGATTTTATTCCTACTACAAGTAATTATGTAGTGCGAAGGTAAAGAAAGAAGAAAAAGTAGTAGAGAGATGGGGGAAGATAGATAGAGAAAGATACGTAGAAGATGGGAGATTGATAGATATAATATATATATAAGATAGATAGATAGATAGATAGAGAGAGAGAGAGAGAGAGAGACAGAATCAATTATTGAGTACCGGAATATGTTATAAGATTGGCGTATATTAGTAACGAATATCTTATCCTGAAATCTGATCGCATCCACACACACTACACACACACATACAAATATCAACACACACAAGCACTCGTACTCACACAGACACACGCATACACATATATTTACCACCCGCTACACAAACACACACACACGCACACACATTCAATAATACAATTATTTATATTTATATCTAAAATCCTAAGCACGCTACATATCAGACTTAACTCACATAAGCACAGGCACACATAAACACTGATTTACAACCTTATGTACACACGCGCACAAAAATACGAAAAAAATGAAATATATAGCGACAGAAAACAAATAATATATATATATATATATTATAATATATATATATATATATATATATATATAATTTTCCTGACAGCCTAGACTGCTTAATATTAATAATGTAATGATCCCCTGTAGCTACAAATATTAATTATAAACTTTTTATTAAAAAGCTTTTCTTCAATAAAGTAGATATGAGCTTTGTGAATCTAATTTCTGAAAGACAATATAAGAAAAAAAACTTTCATACTTTGGTGAATAATCTTATACCAAGATTTTTTTCTTTTTTGGAAAACGTTCGTTCTTGTACACAGAATAAACATTAGGAACAACATTATCTATATTGTACACGAACATTCGTAACCTGTAAACATACGAAATTATAATAAAACGAAAACCACACGACAACTACCTAAAGCAAGCTAACACTAAACTAAAAAATAAATATATAAGCTGGGAGCAAATAAGAAAAAAACAAAATAAATGAAATTCAAAGGGCAAACTTACGATAGAGAGGAATCAGAGGAGAATGCAAGAATTAGAGCTCGTTTTCTGTGGGGAGAAAAAGAAAGAAAACGTGCACTGGACTGAAGGTTTGCATGCTGGAAATACGCGGATAAGCTGTTCTTTAGAGAAAATGGGATCGAGGGGAAACTTATCTAAAAAAAATATGAAAAATGAATAATAAAAAGTGGGGGGGAGAGAGGGGGGGGGGGGGTAAAAAATGAATAAATAAAAAGTTGGGGGAGAAAGGGGTGGGGGGGTGGGGGGTACAAACTTAACATCAAAATCCTTCGGGAAGTTGTTTATCAACATTTATATATTTTACTGGAAACTGGGTTTTATATCACTTCATTTTTAATACCTTTTAGATGCTACCTAGATCACAAGGATAGCTATTATTACGTGTATTTCATATGATTAATTGAAAAGAAGAATAGTAATATGAAATACAGGAATGAAAATGATTGACGAGTAGTGGAGAAAAGGCAGCAAAATAACTAAGCGTTTATGTGTACACACGGATATTTTCGTGTCTGTACATACGTACATGTATCCATGAATGAATATTATACTTAACCCTACATTGACTTCATAAAAAAAACTGTGATGATAAAGTTAATATCGAAAGAAAAACTTATCCAATTTTTGCTTTTATAACTAAGGTAAAATATCAACGTTTATGATAAATTACAAGTATAAAAGCCTATTATTGCCTAGAGCTATACCAACAAAATCCCATTGTTTACCATTTTGTGCAAACGCGCTTGACCAAAATATTTTTTCCTTTTGTGGGTCATGCAAAACTCGGCCTCGTCATGCAACAGAAAGCCATGCAGTGGCATTGCTAATGTTGAAAAAGTATTTAAAAATAAAAAAGAAGCAAAAGCAATTTATTGTAGCATGTGTTTTAAAAAGGTATGAATGAGAATGAAAAAAAAAATCCACAATACGAATTATAAGTTGTATCTTAACCACATCTTTATTCGAATTGTTCCTTCTCATTCATACGTTTTGAATAATAATTTCTAAATAATAATTTAAAAGTTATATATTTCATGGAAATGATAGAGTCAATGAGTACTATGTAAATATTTTGTGTCGTTGTTAGAATTAGAAACCAGTTTAATTAATCATTTGATATTAATAGTCAGCGCGGAAAAAATATATTCATGAAAATATATTCATATATTCATGAAAACAAATGTGCCTTGTTGATGCTTAATTATATAAAAAAAAAAAGTTTAAATCTGAATATATCATTTTAGAATAGCTTCTCTTGGGATTTGAGAATCTGTTCCATGAATAGCAAGATATCCGATAAGGAATTATTTCGATTCATATTGAAACGAGTTATTCATTTGACATGTACGTTGGGAATATAAGCACAGGCGGGTCATTCATGTGCGTCTGTGTGTGTTTGTGTGTGTTTGCATGTGTTTGTGTGTGTGTGTGTGTGTGTGTGTGTGTGTGTTGTTTGTTTGTGTATTTATGTAAGACTACTTGTTCTAGTCCTATAAACTGTCTTGCATCACAAAGCGCACTCGAAAAAAAAACTTACCACACTGCTAGCTCCACCGTTCAGCGCCGTCTCCTTCACAACCTCAGGAATTTCATAGCGCTCCTCGACCACGCTCTCCTTCGCCGCTTCAGGAACCTCTCGCTTGTCAGAGACCGCAGCAGGAACGTTAGACTCGCCAGAGGGACCTTCTGACGCGTCCTGAGTCGTCCCTGTTGAGTCGTCTCCTTTCTCGGTCTTTGAGGACTGGCTACTGTCCGGACTCGTGGCTGGCGGCTTCGATGTGTCCGGGATCTCGTAGCGGTCTTCGGACACGGACTTCCGAACTGACGGCTGACTGGACGCTGGTTCGTTTTCTTTCTTTGGCTCTTCCTTTTGGTTCGAGTCTTGGTGCGTCGTTTTCGCTTGTTTGTCTTCCGGGGGCTTGGTTTGCGGCGTCGTTTGTTCCGTCGTTTGTTTGGTTTCGGTGATTTTAGTCTTTGGTGACGAGGCTACGGTTGTTTTGGGCGGCAGTGCGGGTGGCTGGTCCTCGTCCTCTGCTTTCTGTGACGCGTCTGTTGTCTTTCCAAGCCGTTCGGTTTCTCTTGCTTTGTCTGCTTCCGTTTTCTTTACTCCGGGGGTGGTGGCAGCTGACGCGGGGAGAGAGAGGCTAACGCGGATAGGGATTGGCGATCCTTGGGGCGTTTCGGGAGGGGAGGTGTGAGGGGTCTCAGGGGGGGAAGTATGAGGCGTTTCGGGTGGCGACGTCGGTGGCGAATCGGGCGGGGGTCCTGGCGGAGGAGGGGGAGGGCAGTCAGGGGGGAGGTCGGACTCGTCGATGAAAGGAACCGTGCGGGATCCTCGCAGCAGAAGGGCGGTCTGCCTCATGACCGTCGGGGAGAGTTGGGCGGGCACGATGATTTTCCCGGGGGGCTCTATGACCTCGTACTGACAGCTCTGCTGGTCTTTCGAGTCCGATGTCTTCGTCTTGGCATCTTTGACTTCGTTTGCATCCATGTACGGAATGTCGTCCAGAAAGGCCAGTGAGTCTCTTGGCGGCGCCGTTGCTGATGGATCTGCCGCTTTTCCTGAATCCTCTTTCTTTTCTTCGGTTGATTTCACGTCAGAAGGTGGAGGCACTGGTTTCAAGGATGATGGTGGTGGTGGAGGTGGAGTCTTTGGGTGTTGGAGCTGTATCCGCTGTTGCTGGTTCTTGATGGCTTTCGAGATGACTTGTCTCGCCTCTTCCTTTTGAGTTTCTGGTTCTTTGACGTCTTGCTGTGGTTGGGAACTACTTTGGGGCTCGCTTGCTGTTGATTTAGCCGTCTCCGAGGGGGTGTTGGCACTACTTTTCTCTCCATTTCGGAGTTTGGCGGGTATTGGTGGCTTGGTTTCATCTGCATCGGCATTTTTCGTTTGCTCTCCTTGATTCTGAGCATCTGGAGGGATGGGAGTGTCTTGGGTGGAGGATCTTCGTGGAGTTGAAGCTCGCTTTGGAGTTGGTGGGCGTTGGGAGGTTGATGGATGCTGTGTTGATGACTGGTCGGTTGATGAAGGTTGGGGAGTGGATGCTGTTCGTGGAATGGAAGAAGAGCGTGGGGTTGATGACCGCTGTGGAGCGGAAGGAGGCCGTGAAGAAGTAGGAGGCTGTGGAGTTGATGAAGGCTGTTGGGTGGAGGTGGTTGATTCAGTAACTTCAGAACTTGAAATGGTTACTGACGTGTTCTCTGCAGCTGAAGCAGAGGTTGGATCTGGTGTGGGTGGAGGGCGAGGTGCTTTCCGCTTTGGTCTCGTCTGTACTGAGTCATCCTGTAGTTCAGCGAGCGATCCCATGCCACATACCTTCCCATTTTCGCCTTTTCGTATATTTTGCAACTTCTCATAATCTTTGTTCTTTTTGATTTCCTCAGAACTTTCTTTGGCGTCTTTCTTCAAGGGTTCAACGTCTTCATAAAATGGATTTTTCCCTATGTATCCTGCTACTGCAACATCCTCCCTGATAAAGGGATTCTTTTCCTCTTCCTTAGCCTGTATTTCCTTCACTTTCTCTTTGACAGAGTCGATTTCCTCATAGAATGGATTCAGTGATCTTCTGTATTCTTCTTTTCTCTTCCTTTCTTCCTCACTTGTTTCTTTAGGACTTTGTGATGCCTGATCTTGAGTTTTGCTGCTAGCATTTTCAACACTTCTGTTCTGATAATCTCTCCAGTCAGGGGGCATGAAATCCGGGGGCATTGGCGCTCTTCTCTTCTTCCTTCGGGCGCCTGTTGAACCACCTCTCAGGGAGCCTGGGGTGGAGGCTGACGTCCACTCCATGCTAGGGTACGTTACGCTCAAGTTCGAGTCATCTTCTCCGCCAGAACTCACCTTCTTCTTTGGAGGGAGAGGAGGTGGCGGGGTGTGTGCCGGGACACTCGCAGATCTTAGCGCTTGCACCTGAGCACGAATCACATCGATTTCCTCATAGATGTGTTCTTCGGGGTTGTCATTTCCTGTCGTCGCCTCTCCTGTTGGCGTGGAAGGCGGGGCGGCTGAGTTCTTGCTTTCAGGGCGATGTTGGCTGTCTCGAGAGATGGTGCTGGAGCGGAGTGACTGGAGATCTGGCATGCTCGTCATCGTACTCAGAGATGACCTGTCTATGGGATTCAGAGGGAGGGCGAGCACTGAACCTGATCGCATATCCTCCTTTTTCCGAAGGACTTCAGTTGGTAGAGGAGCTTCTTCTGTAGGCATCTCACCAGCAAGTTCGTCCTGCACGGCTTCAGTGCTGTCTCCTTTCACGTCCTTCGTATCTTCTCGTAAGGTGACTTCCTCTTCAGAAGAAGAATCCCGCCGTGCCTTCTTGGCGGGACCTTTGGTGTGCTGTACGGATTCCTGAAGAGTCTCCGTTTCTTCATCTGATATGGACGCTCTGCTCTCTGGCCTTTTGTCGAGTGACGCGCTAGACTGCGCCGATAGGAAGCTGTACGAGCTGGCAGAGGACTGTGGTCTCTGAGGAAGATCCTGCATCAGATGGTCTGGCGAAGAAGCAATGGGACTGGTGGCCGAGAAGAACAGGTCGGAGATGTTGGTCGGGTACTGGTGCATCCCGGTCAAGTAGAGGCGAAGTTCCTCT